GCTATGAAAGTTACTTCATTAATTATATTTCCATTAAACATTTTAAATCTTTTATTTTGTTTCTCTAAATCTCTAAGAATTAATATTTAATGAAAATAAGATACAAATAAATAATTATTAAATTAAAATAAATAAAATATAAATTAAAATGAATGAATAGATAAATACACAAACGGGTTAAAGCAACTGTATTTAATGTCAAATCCACGATGTTGAAGGTGTAGCTAACGTCTATTTGACATTAGCTAAGTTGAGTTGGTAAGTAGCTAGCTAACAAGCTAGCGTTGTTATATAATCAACAATCTTGTTTTCAATCAGTTGTCAGGTGATTTTAATCACTTCAAAATAAAATACGTGAATAGAAACACGGCTAACACCTCGTCTTTGTCAGAGGAGACATGATTAGCTTGCATTAGTCCGACATCAGTAAACTAAATGATGATCAGAAATAAGACAGCAGGCTAACGCTAGCTAACGTTAGCATTCTTTGTGATCGATTGTAGGATGGATGCTCTTAACCTCAAACTTTGACTGAAACCAAAACAATGATTTTATACAATAGACCAACTAATTCCAGCTGACAAATATCACCTAGCAAACAAACACAAAGCTTACCTTAGCGTTAGCCAACGTTAGCTAATGCTAATGCTACAATACAAGCAAAACAATAAAGTAAAATGTTAACGTACTTTAATCAGATGATATTTTATAATATCTAAACTAATACTGTCCCATGTCTCCTGGGGGAAATACATTAACATTTAACTTTCATTATTTTGTTTGTATCGTAGCGACAGCTAATGCTAACACAAGCATCATAAGTTACCAAGGTAATCTAGGCAGTTAAAATAGAGCTACTCAACGTATAAATTATATTGTATTGTATTAAATTATATTATGTTATGTTCTGTTATATTATATTAAATTATATTGTATCAAACTACATTTTATTAAAATATATTATATTATCTTAAAAATAATATCTAAAATAAATATTCTTCTGTTGAATAATGAAATTAAACTTTTCTTCTCGTCTATTAGAACAAAATGTCTGACGACAGAAAAGAAGAAGAGGAGGAAGAGGAGGAAGAGGAAGTGACCTGTCAGCCCCTCCCCCGCCCGCCTCCTCCTTGCTGCGTTGCCATGGAGACAATGTTGTCACTGAGGAGGCAGGACCTCGTGTGCATCGTGTGCTTCGGCAGCTACGACCTGGCCACGCGGTTGCCACGGCGACTGCACTGTGGCCACGCCTTTTGTCAGGCGTGTCTGAAGAGGCTCGACACTGTCATCAACGAACAGGTGACATCATCAGTGACATCATCCACACTCACCTGAGATCTGTAGACAGTCCAGGTGTCAGCTGACGTTGAATCAGTGGTGGGCCGTCAGGGCCTTCAAGGCCTTCTCTGCTGGCCTAAACACAATCACAAAGTTATAGATGTTTTATCATTTAATAATTTTTCACAAATACACTACATGTATTGTAATTATTTTTCCCATTATCTTATGTTCTCATTGCACAGCTCCTGTCTTCCTCAGTTGCTCTGCTTCCAGCACAGCTTGCTTTAAGTAGAGCTTTTATCCAATCAGATTCAACCCCTATGTCTCTATGTAAGGAGAGAGGCCCGATATCCTCTAGAGCAGGGGTTCTTAACCTTTTTGACCTCGGGGCCCAACTTTTCAAGTACAAAGTGTCCCGGGGCCCATTCAAATATTAACACTATTAGTTTAACTAATTTATCTCACTCTTGGTTTTATTTGTATTCAATAACTATATTCTTACCTGTTCAACTCCACCCCTATTTTGGAGCAAAACCGCCTAAAATGACATACCCAAATTAAAATGGCTGTAGCTTCTGAACCACTGACTATATGCATCAAAAGTGTCAGAAAACCTGTAGGTCATACAGAAACAGAGCAGTGGGCCTTTGGAGTCAGTAAAAATTGAAGATTTTTGTCCGCATAAAATAAAAAAGTATCTTTCAGTATAAATAACTGCCTGTGGCTGTATCTGTACAGGTAAATGACAGTATAGGGCTGTAACTACACTATCAGTGAACAACTGCCTCAAATTTGAAGAAGATTGGACAAAGTACGACCATTCTACAGTGTTTCTTCCATGAAGAGATCCAGGCGGAGCTCTCAAAGGATATTTGGAGACCCAAATGGACACATGGTAACCAAATGATATTCTGACACACTAACGGTGTTTCTCCCTTTATATTTTGATATTATAGTATTTTCCTTTTATTTTTAGCCTTTGCAAAATCTACGTATATATGGTCGAAGACGTGGTGTGTGAGTAGCGGACTTGCTGTGCATAATGGCTGCGACAGAGCGCATGATCGAGTATGCGGGTAGCTCAGTTACGCAAAGGTTATACGTTGGTTGACGGCTTATAGAAGAGGAAGATAAGGTTTGTACTATAAGTACCAGCGTTTTCTGAAGCCACTACCTCCATGGTAACATCCGCTAGCACATTGTTGGGTCTGTAATGTCTTTTTCCGTCGAAATGCTGCAAGATCCGACTTGCAGCGGTTATGGCGAATTTGGACAGTGTGTGTTTGGACTCCTTTTGTGAAAAAGCCATAAGAAATGAAAGAAAATCGATGATTTCTTTGCAAAGATGAGGATTTTGGGCATGCTGGGATACCAAACACGGCCATGTTTTGTGACGTAGTTTGCGCAAGCAAGCCGTAGGAACGGAAGGGGAGGGGATCGAGGACGCCGGCGTCCTCGCGGAGTTGAACAGGCAAAACCCTTGTCAAATAAATGAGATGATACAATGTGATGATCACAAAGACATTTATTTATCATGTGTATGTAAACCTGCATACACAACAAGAAGCCCAACAGGCTTTCCCACGAGCGTTGGATGTTTCGTCGCTAGGTGTGGCTTTATTTTTGAAGGCTTCAGTGCTTCATTTGATAGCATTAGCCCACATTCCACACACTGAGCCCTCGGCTCTGCCTCGTTGCCTCCGTTCACAAAGCCGTACTTAAGAAAGTCAGGATTGTACTTGCGCACACATTTAGACTTTTGGGGGGGTATGGCACCACTGTCGTCTTCATTTTTTCTTTTTAAAAACGTATTCATAACTTTCACTACAGGCTAGCGGCTAGCTGAGTGTCGTCTTCTGCTTATTGGAGCTTGTTAAACAACTGACCCAATCGTGGGCCGCGAGCCTTTGCAGTTTAAGTGAATGGGGACGATATTGTTGATTGTCGTAGTCTTCAGCCAATCAAATCTTTAGTTTGACATGTTGGCCGTATTATTTGACGTGCCAGTGCTACCCAGGTAGCCTCCTAAGTACGTCTGCATTAACGTGCGCCGTGATTGGTCAGTGGGCCAGCATGACTTTGTGATTCTGTTTAGGCCAGCAGAGAAGGCCTTGCAGGCCCTGACGGTCCACCACTGATACACGTGTATTGTTACACCCCTAGAAACAAATAACCGTAGCTCAGTAGGACAGCACAGAAGGCCCAGGTATAAAATGAAGCAGTTGAAGTGTCAGTTAACGAGTGAGTGATGAAAGCAGTTGAAGTGTCAGTTAACGAGTGAGTGATGAAAGCAGTTGAAGTGTCAATTAACGAGTGAGTGATGAAAGCAGTTGAAGTGTCAGTTAACAAGTGAGTGATGAAAGCAGTTGAAGTGTCAATTAACGAGTGAGTGATGAAAGGAGTTGAAGTGTCAGTTAAAGTTGGAGTTGAAGTGTCAGATGAAAGCAGTTGAAGTGTCAGTTGACGAGTGAGTGATGAAAGCAGTTGAAGTGTCAGTTGACAAGTGAGTGATGAAAGCAGTTGAAGTGTCATTTGACGAATGAGTGATGAAAGCAGTTGAAGTGTCATTTGACAAGTGAGTGATGAAAGCAGTTGAAGTTTTAATTCAAAGTGTAAATTAAAACTTCAGACACTTTGAAGACCGAAATTTTTAATAAAATGAACTGTTTAAAGTAAAAATAGTTTGTATTTAAAAAGGTTATCATGTTCACTTCCTGTCACTAGAACTCCCATGATGTAACATGTAACCCCCCCTTCCCTTCACCTCCAGGTGTGGATCCCGTGTCCTCAGTGTCGACAGAACACTCCTCGGCCCAGAGGAGGAGCAGCTGGTCTAGACCTGGACTTGGCCTCCTTCCTGGGAGTGAAGGCCCAGCAGACCTGCACCTCCTCCTGCTCCCTGTCCTCCTGGAGCTCCGGCCGTAGGGAGGGGACGGCGGCTGGGGACACGGCCCGGGACGGGAAGCTGTGGCTGGGGAAGGAGGTCGCAGACGACGGCTGGTCACATGGAGGTCTGGCTGAGCCGCGATTCCAACGTTACGGAAACTGCTGCCCGCCACCGTCCTATTGGCTTTGCTGCTTGTTCTGCTGCCAGGGGCGGGGCTAAGACTGACCAATGAGTGTGCTCACTTTAATTGTCCCCTGAAGTTGGTTCTTCCGAGTGGTGTTATGAAAACTATTTATTTAAATAAACATGTAACGTGTTACTGAGGTTCATAATTAATTTAGAAACAAAAAGACAACGGAAAAACAAAGAGAGGAACTTCTATAAAATATGTATATCATTGTACAATAAAAGTGTGTACATAAGTACTTATACTAATATATAATATACATTATATTCTAAGTGGAATAAAGACAAAGCTGCTGAGAAGAAATATTTATTCATAATTACATATGTTACAAAAAGTATAGAAGCTTAACTAATGATAACAGTTAGCATTCAGTATGGGTCATCAGAATTAATTCATTATTTAATTGTTTATTTTCATCCAATCACAGGCATCCTCTTGGTGAGCTAGCTGATGCTAATAGCTGTGAAGGCTCCGATTGGTTAAAAATAAAAAAATAAAGCTTCAGACATTAAAACTGTGTCAGTGGACGGAGGAACTTCTTATTTCACTTTAACAAATGTTTGACGTCATTATTATTTTGTTAAATGTGATGTGAATGTTTAAGTTTTCATATTTCTTAGATTTTTGGTGACTTTAAAGAAATATTTGTTTGTTGGTTCAGTTGCTGGAAGAGCGACACAGAGAGACAACAGAAAGAAAAAAAAAAAAAAAAAAGACAGAGCTTTGGCATTCAACCCCCCGATGAGGCGCAAGGCATGCTGGGAGTCGGAGTCCTCTTTATGTCATTTACAGGTTTTTTTGTTACCAAGAAAAAATTCCCACAATGCCATAAACTCTTGATGTCCGTCTGTCATCAGACGACAAGCACTTCCTTATCATCAGGCTCCTCCCCCTCCTGAGTACGCAGCTCGGCCAATCAGAGGCTGCCGAGCCCCTCCCCCACTCTGATTCGCTGTCCCGGCTGCAGGTTGAACCTAAAGTCTTTCGGAGCCTCAAACAGCAGAACGATGGTGGAGCCGAGGTTGAACTCCCCCACGGCTGCGCCCTTCTGTAAGACCACGCCCTCCTGTAAGACCACGCCCTCTTCCTCCATAGAGACCACGCCACCTTCACCCGCCACCTTCAACACACTGTCGTCCACGTAGCTTCGGTCGTGGAAGGAGCCTTTACTGTAGCGAGGAGCGTTGGTCTGAAGCTCCTGAGGACGAATAAATTAATCTAATTAACAGACTGATTACAACATAAATACACATCCAACTACAATAAAATGAATACATCCATTCATGTGTTCATTATACAATATTTACTTAAGTTAAAATATGAATACTGTTAATATTTCCAGAAATATGAATATACATATATATGACAATAAATATATAAATACTAGTATGAACAAAGTTAGTTTAGATAAAAAAACTTTAAAGAATCTGATTAACTTCCTAAACTGAACTTTAAATATACAATAAAAAAATACAAAAACAAAAGTAATAGAAAAGATTCAAAGTATAAATAGTAAAAACTAAAGTGTTGCTCACCTGGTCGAAGTAAACTCTGATGGAGCCGACGTTTGTGGCTCCGACCGCCGTTAACGAGAAGAAGCCGTGCTGCCATTGGCCGGTGAGAGCAACTCGCTCGTTAAGGCAAAAGAGCTCTTTAACCAAACGAGCCACACCGGGGTTAACGGAGAGTAACGAGCCTAACGAGGGGGGAGAGAGAGAAGGGTGAGACAGACAGGTGAGACAGACAGGCAGAGAGACAGAGAGGCAGAGAGACAGAGAAGCAGACAGACAGAGAGGCAGAGAGACAGACAGACAGAGAGACAGACAGACAGACAGACAGACAGAGAGGCAGACAGACAGAGAGGCAGAGAGACAGACAGAGAGGCAGAGAGACAGACAGAGAGGCAGACAGGTGAGAGAGACAGAGAGGCAGACAG